TTTGCTGAATCAAGATTTCAATTCAAGTCAAATTTAATAATTAATTTTAACCACTCATTTTATGCGACCCACAATTTTTCAACCATACTTTTCATCAACTCTAATCAAAATCTTCTAAAAAAATTTAATCCCCATGAAAAGGGGCTTAATGTCAAAACGCAAAAATCATGTTCCAGGATAATTGACTCAGGTGCCAATGATCACATAACTGGGAATGCAAATATATTCCACACTTACAGGCCTTGCTTTGAAAACTATAAGGTTTGAATAGCTGGTTGATGTAGGTTCTATTGTTTCCTCTAGGAACCTAATCTTAAAATCTGTTCTTTTTGTTACATATCTAACTTGCAATTTTTTTGTCCACCATAAACTTGCAAAGGACCTAAATTGTGTTGTTAAATGTTTCCCCACATAAATGTGAATTTCAGGACTTAGTCTTGGGGAAGATGATTGGCGATGCTTAGGAGTTTGCAAGGCTCTATCTTCTAAGATTTGATGAATCCTTCGGAAAACGTACTCAAGATACCAGTTTTGTGGTAGTAATCCAGTACAATACAATTTTTAATTTAGCTGTTAGTAATAATAGTGCAATCATGTTGTGGCACTATAGACTAGGTCATCCTAGCTTCTTGTTCTTGGAAAAGTTTTTTCCTTTACTATTCAGCAATAAAAGTCAGAAATTTTTTCAGTTTGAACATCCAAGTTAGCCATAAAGAGCATCTCAACCATTTCCAATCATTCTTCATAGTGATATTTGGGACCATCTATAGTCAATAATCAGAAACTGGAATAATCTTCAAAAACTTCAACTTCATGGTTTAACGATTCGAGCCTTTGTGTCCAAGCTATTTTGTCATATGTACTATCCGTTTTGGAAAGGCATATGCCCTTTTAATCCTTCATAGATTTCTATTTCATTCCCCCGGGATTCGAACTACAGATCTCTTTGCCCTACGAGAGACTTTAGTTGAATTTTGGTATTAATTGGACAAGCGTAACTCCCCAAATTTTTACTACTTGCAGTAAAGTTTGAATTTAGGACTTAATTACACAATTATTAAAGTCTATGGACCTTATTGGTTTTTGGCCAAAAGTTTGAGGACTTAAGTGCAATTATTCTGAGATGTTCTTAGTTGGGTCAAGTTGGGAATTTATATAGCAATATTGGTCATCAAATGTATCTCATAATTTAATAAAACATCATGGGAGACGGAGAAAATATAAGTTTTGATCAACTGAGTCTTTTAAATAAGATATGATGAAATCTACATCAACAAAAATGTTGAAATACTTACAGATGATAATTGTGCTGGTTCAGTTAGAGATAGAATGTCCCCCTCCACCTTTGGTTATTGGACTAATGCATTAGGGGGTCTTGTTGCATGGCCAGCAATAAGCAATTTGTAGTTGCAATTAGTGTTGAGGTTGAATTTAGGGCTATATGAAGGAATGTGGCTGAGAAGGTTACTTGAAGAATTTTCCTACTGCGAAGTCAATGAAGATGTTTTGTGGCAATCAAGCTGCAATAAGTATTGCAAAGAACCCATTTCATCATGACACAACTAAGCATCTGAAGATTGATCGTCACTTCATCAAAGAGAAGATTGAGGAAGGAGTAATTAAAATGACTTGTACTCTAATTGCCTTCATACTGCATATATTCTTACTAAAGCTCTTCTAATAACTAATTTTGAAGACTTAATCACCAAGGCTGGAATGATTAACATCTATGCCCTAGCTTCAAAGGGATTGTAATCTCTGATTGTATACTATAGTAGTGAATGTTTATTTTTGGTATATTAGGTATTGCAGTTAATTCATTTTATTATTATGGTAATTGATATTAAGAAAAAGAGGTTTCACTTTCTACAGTTAATAATATTTCCAAAAGTGGATGGAATTCTCTATATGATTAATGTGTGTTCTTGTTTTCTATCAAGTGGGCCAAGTGAATTTCTTTGTACAGTTCAAATACTTGCTTTTGTTTTTTAGATTTTTAAAACTTTATACTCTATTTGATAAGAATTTATAAGTGGTTTAATTTATAAATTGATAGAAATGAGTGGTGGATAAATGGATTTTATTAGTGGATCCATGGGAATGTGTGGTTGAAATGAAATTTGACCATTTAGAAATGATTTATAAACTGTTTATACGGAGGCGAAACAGGAGTAATGGTTCTATCACTAAACCAATAGTGACTAATTTGTGCTACTGTTAGCTTGATACTTTAACTTGCTCCCGTGTTACACCTGTATTCACTAAGTGTAGCTTTCTTTATCTTCTTCATGTGATATAATTGAAGCTTGGTGTACTTGCTAGTGATATGCAGTTGTCAAGTTTGTTAGTGTGAACTACCTAGTGAGACACTTAACAGGCAGTAGGTTGTTAAATAAGCTGATTTGTGAGTGCAATGAACGACATCTCGTCAACAATCCATATATCTTTCACATTGTCTCTCTTTTTTGTTGATCGCCACAACTATGCATCAGCTGACCAGTATCTAAATGATTTACTTTACAAATAGTCTCACATTGAAGTTGAGCCTTTTCTGGGTATTCTTCCTGTGTAGTTTGAGAGTCTGTATGATTGGTTCTGTTTCCTAACAACTTTATTATTAATTATGTTGCTTTTGCAGTGGAAAAACAATTGAGCTTGATGATGTAACTTTCCACCAGTGTGTCAATCTAACAAGATTCAACTCAGAAAAGACCGTTAGTTTTGTTCCTCCAGATGGCGAATTTGAATTAATGAAGTAAGATGATGTTTCTATTCTTACTTTTGTTATGTGATTAAGGTTAATGGAGAAGAAAGGTAGTGCATATTTTACACACACACACACACATATATATATCTATATATATGTATATATGTATATGTGTGTGTGTGTACACACACACACACACACACACATGTATAGTGTGTGTGTGTATATGTATCTTTTTCCTTACTGACATGTCCTTTGATAGACAAACTTGCTGTACAAACACCTTTTACATTACATAAATATTGTGCGGAAGTCCATTAAAGATATTTACTCAGCTTTCACTCCCATATCAGAAACTGTATATTGTAGATATGTCAAATTGGAGTAGTTGTAGCATCTATCATCATTGTTTGCTGTTACAAGGGTGGTAGAGTAGATTTTCATCTTTCAGCCTTGATGATCAGGAAGAATGAGAACGTATATTGTGCTTAATGGTCTTCCAGATAGATAGAAAAATGTAGTTCTTGTCATAACCAGTTCGTTGACGGTCATCAAAGCAATTTGGTACCTGTAGCTTTTATTGGATGTTTTGGTAATGGACATCCATGAATATGAACCAGGCTTCTGAAATCAATTTTTTCAGTGTTTTGCTATCATGCTAAATGTTGTGGGGCAGCTTCATTAAAGTTGAATGCATGGGGGGTTTAAATTGAACTGATGAACATGGTTGACATGGATTAATAAGGGGTTTCCAGAAATGATCTGATCTCTTAGGAAATTTTCATAGGAGCAATAAAGGAAATTAATTGGTTTGGGAAAATTTTCCGCAACTCCTGCACCCCACTTCCTGGCCATCCACCTTCAGCAGATTCCAATGCCCTTCTCCTTCAACCTCCTTTCTTCAGTTGCCCTTCCCCTACCCCGCCCCCTCCTTCAGTTGTCCTTCCCCTTCTGAGAGAACCACAATCTACCTCCAACTTTCTATGAGGCTTTCTGTTGTCTTCCCTAAACCAGAAATTATCTCCTTGATGCAAATCCTCAAAAAGTATTCTCTAATTTTTTTGAAATTGCAAACCTAGAAGAGATGCATACTCCTCCATGTGAAGATGATCTAACCAACAATTGTTTTGGCAAGATCTGGTGTATAACTGTAAATCCGAGTAGAGTTTCAATACTTGAACACAAATTTATAGGGAAAAGAGAGAATAATACCTTCATGCTTCAAGAGAAATGTATTCTCTTTTGATCTGAAGTCAAATGAAGACAAGGTTAGCCTGGAGGGCAGGGGCCGCTGGGGTTAGGAGGATGAGAGGTGGGAGTAAATAGAAGATGATTTATTTATTTAATTTTCTTTTCTTCTCTTTTTCTCCCCTTCTTTTCATATTTATTTCTTTGCTTATTTGAGGGTATAGTCTTTTTGCAAATCTAACAATTAGGTTGGGCAGAAACCGTGAAAAAGGATGAACCTGATACTAAAATGGAAGGTTGAGGAGTTAAATGTGAAGAAAAAGGGGTTGGGACCAGAAGTACAAAAGTGAGCAAAGGTTGGGAACCCAAATGCAAATTACCCTTCTGCAAATGATGGTCCAAATATAAACGATGGATTTGGTAATTCAGAAACCCAAACAACTTTGGGTGGTTTCTTCGGATTACAATCATGATAATAATTAGAATAACTAAACAAGCAGGAAGAAGCCTGCATTATGATGAGAAGCACAACTAATGCAAATGTGACCCCCAAAATGGTCTGCTGGAGCCTAGAGATATCATCAGAGGGGTGGGTTATGGGATGTGATGGATGACGATGATTTTGTCCATTATTACACGATAATTATGGAAATAAAGATAACCTTTAGAATGTTGGGGAGATTGGGAGAGTTGAGATTTGAACTTAGGACGCAGAGGAATATACCACCATGTGCATTAATATGGTTATTTTATAATTTTTGTATCCCAGAAATCTGTGTCAACACTTAATTTCAGCGGGCTGTATTTTTAAACGCTCTCATAGTTTTGGTTAAAAAATTCTTGATTGTTTTGTTTCCTATCTTTTGTATTTCAGTGGAATGTATTTTTGTTAACGCTCTAATATTTTACTTTGGAGAATCTTTATCACAATGCCTTTTAGCATATATTTCATAATCTGCATTTGCATAATATGAAATAAACTGATTTTGTGTTATTATTAACTTATTACTTAAAAGATGTTACTTCAATTTCACATTACATGATAGATTGAAAATTTATCTTCGCTTATATTTTTGAATTGCATAATGACACTGCCATATTTACCTCTCCATGTCCCTCCGTGTTTGAATTGCCAACCATTTTGTACAAGCGCTCCTCTTACAATGATAAATGCTTTGCCATAGGTATCGTATTACAGAGGGAGTAAATCTTCCATTTCGGGTACTGCCAACTATCAAGGAATTGGGAAGGACACGCATGGAAGTTAATGTTAAGGTTAGTCATCTTTAATATGTTTATCATTGTCTGTGATGTCCCATTAGTTGAACATACTCATACTTCATCAGGTGAAGAGTGTCTTCGGGGCAAAAATGTTTGCTCTTGGAGTGGTGGTTAAGGTTCCAGTACCAAAACAAACAGCAAAAACAAGTTTTCAGGTGACATCTGGCAGAGCAAAGTATAATCCAGCTATTGACTGTTTGGTTTGGAAGTAAGTATTTGAATACGTTTATGTGCGGTTGCTCCATCTGAGCATGGTTAATTCATATTTCAGTTTTATAATTTCATTACCATCCTTAGTAATTTTATGTGTGATAGTTTTTTGTCTGATTAAGCAAATGCTGGAAGTCTTTGTGATCAAAGATTTCACTTAGCCCGATTATTTTTCTCTTCTATGACCAAGTGGCTTTAGGTGCCTCGTGTGATATGTGTTGCTCTTAGCACATTTGTGTCTCAAAATGTCGACTTCAAGACAATATGCTAGGGAACAATATTTATAACAATTATTTTATTTAATGACCAAGAATGGTGTAACACCCCCAAATTTTCATAAATCTTGAGGTGTCACCAAAACTCACTTCTGTTTGTTTTGAATATGGAACAATAAATTTCTTTAAAAATAAAATACTGACTATTCATAAACTTAAGTTAAACATGAAAATTTAAAAAAAAAATAAAATGAACAACTAATTAATTCAAAAACATGTTTTCGAATAAATTTAAACTAACTAATATTTAAAGACATAACATTTAAGGTATAATTTTTCCTTTTATTTGATCCTCTTGTTAGCCTGGGTTACCATCCTATCACAACCCGATCTAACCTGTAAAATTATAGGAAAAGTGAGTATTTAGAAATACCTAGTAAGATAAATGTAGTTTTCATAAACAATTATATAACAATAAATTAAATACTGTATACCACATTTCTTATGGAATATATCGATGACCAAGCGACACACCCATAGTAGTACTCTAAATTCTTGAAAGATTTCATATTTCGTTAGAAAAAGTCCAATAGTGTTCACATGTCGTTAGGTTGAACTCGAAAGTCCACTAGTTATATATAAATTACAGAATATAAAAGCATACGGAAATAACCCACTTGTACAAAAGTATCTTACCTTGATAGATTAAGTGATTTTTTTTTTTTTTTTGAAAAAGATATGAATGCAAGTTCCTTTTACAGTTTCCTGATGTGGAAGTTTTTTTCTGCCGTATTTATGTATATGTGTGTGTGTTAAATATATAGTCTATTGTAGTCAAACCGACCTCTCTCTCTATTCTATGGTGTAATTTTTATTGACGTTATAGTGTATTTATAGTGCAAGCTCCCTATTGGAAGTGGGACACTGTTATTCTTGTTAAACAGTAACACTAAGAAATTTTTATCCTAATAATTGCATAATGACACTGCCATATTTACCTCTCCATGTCCCTCCGTGTTTGAATTGCCAACCATTTTGTACAAGCGCTCCTCTTACAATGATAAATGCTTTGCCATAGGTATCGTATTACAGAGGGAGTAAATCTTCCATTTCGGGTACTGCCAACTATCAAGGAATTGGGAAGGACACGCATGGAAGTTAATGTTAAGGTTAGTCATCTTTAATATGTTTATCATTGTCTGTGATGTCCCATTAGTTGAACATACTCATACTTCATCAGGTGAAGAGTGTCTTCGGGGCAAAAATGTTTGCTCTTGGAGTGGTGGTTAAGGTTCCAGTACCAAAACAAACAGCAAAAACAAGTTTTCAGGTGACATCTGGCAGAGCAAAGTATAATCCAGCTATTGACTGTTTGGTTTGGAAGTAAGTATTTGAATACGTTTATGTGCGGTTGCTCCATCTGAGCATGGTTAATTCATATTTCAGTTTTATAATTTCATTACCATCCTTAGTAATTTTATGTGTGATAGTTTTTTGTCTGATTAAGCAAATGCTGGAAGTCTTTGTGATCAAAGATTTCACTTAGCCCGATTATTTTTCTCTTCTATGACCAAGTGGCTTTAGGTGCCTCGTGTGATATGTGTTGCTCTTAGCACATTTGTGTCTCAAAATGTCGACTTCAAGACAATATGCTAGGGAACAATATTTATAACAATTATTTTATTTAATGACCAAGAATGGTGTAACACCCCCAAATTTTCATAAATCTTGAGGTGTCACCAAAACTCACTTCTGTTTGTTTTGAATATGGAACAATAAATTTCTTTAAAAATAAAATACTGACTATTCATAAACTTAAGTTAAACATGAAAATTTAAAAAAAAAATAAAATGAACAACTAATTAATTCAAAAACATGTTTTCGAATAAATTTAAACTAACTAATATTTAAAGACATAACATTTAAGGTATAATTTTTCCTTTTATTTGATCCTCTTGTTAGCCTGGGTTACCATCCTATCACAACCCGATCTAACCTGTAAAATTATAGTAAAAGTGAGTATTTAGAAATACCTAGTAAGATAAATGTAGTTTTCATAAACAATTATATAACAATAAATTAAATACTGTATACCACATTTCTTATGGAATATATCGATGACCAAGCGACACACCCATAGTAGTACTCTAAATTCTTGAAAGATTTCATATTTCGTTAGAAAAAGTCCAATAGTGTTCACATGTCGTTAGGTCGAACTCGAAAGTCCACTAGTTATATATAAATTACAGAATATAAAAGCATACGGAAATAACCCACTTGTACAAAAGTATCTTACCTTGATAGATTAAGTGATTTTTTTTTTTTTTATATGTGCAAAAAGGATGGGGAGACGATTGATCATTTGTTCATTCATTGTGATGGTGTACATTGGATTTGGAACAGTATAATTAGTTCACAATCTATGGATTGGGTGATGTCTCGTCGTATAGAGGACGTGATACGGGCATGATATATAGTCTATTGTAGTCAAACCGACCTCTCTCTCTATTCTATGGTGTAATTTTTATTGACGTTATAGTGTATTTATAGTGCAAGCTCCCTATTGGAAGTGGGACACTGTTATTCTTGTTAAACAGTAACACTAAGAAATTTTTATCCTAATCAACTAAAAATTTATCTTATTATCTTTCTAGGACACACACGTGGTTGGTGGGCTAGGATTTCACTTTCTACATGTCTATCTTACAACAATCTAATTAATTCCCTAGTACCTACCTAATGATGTTGGGATTGTATCTATTTTTAAGAATTTTTATGGTATGCATCCAAAGCACGCGTGGCAGTCTCCAATTTAATAAAATACTATTAGATAACAATTTTCTTTAAATATCAATATCTTAGGCTTAACATATCCAAATTAATTTTTTCTCTTCGAGTCCTAAAAATCTTCTTTTGGTGGGTTTTCACATATGAAGTAATGCATGACTAGGGGCTGAAAATCCGTAACCTAAACAATGAAATTTAGTGACTCGAGTTCTTGCTCAGGGTCTTTCGATTCTGGTTCTATTTCCTCTTCCGAGTCCTCCTCGGGCCCTCATCAGGCTCTTCCTTTGGTTTTGGTTTTGGTTCTGGCTCTAGCTCTGGCTTGATTTCTGGCACTAGCTCTTGTTGTTTGTAGTTTCACAAGATTATGATGTCTTCACAGTATTTCTTAAAATCAGTCATATCCCAATCTTCTTGCAAATATAGCTCATAATCCATATCCCTCACGAAGTAAGCTATATCTTTCCACTGAGGCCTCATTGTGCTTATAAGATGGTATATCGAGAGGACTGTCCCCTCATTATATCCAAACGATCTTGCTTGCTCCCATTTAAAAATGAAATTTTCGACATGTTCAACAAAGGTTCGCTCCCATCTTACTTCATAATTTATGTAGTTATCAATGGTCATTTGAGCACGATGAAGGTATGTTGGACTATTCCTAGTCATTGAGTCGTTGCCAAGCCCTAATTCTATGACAAATATAACTTCAATTATGCTTAATCTTTGGATGACTATTATTTTAACTCCATGCCTGATATTTATGAAAAAATTGGACTAATAAATCATGCGAGGTAAACGTACTTGTACATTTCATAACATGAACAAGATGGCTCATAATCCTATTAAAAATATAACATTACATTTCATACTTGGGATCAATTGGAGAGTGGTTAAGTAGTGAGTGGAGCGTGCCAAGAATTCTTCATATCATTACATGTTTAATATTTTAAAAAAAATAAAAATTACATTGTCCTCTTGTTTATGAAAAATAATTTACATTTATTTATTTATTTATTTTAAATTTCCTAAAATATGATTCTTCTCAAAATAGAAGTTTCAAAATTAGTATTTTCTTAAATCTAAGTTGGTTTGAAATATTATTTTTCGTCTTGTTGATTTGAATATCATGTAATTGGATTTGGAACAGTATAATCAGTTCACAATCTATGGATTGGGTGATGTCTCGTCGTATAGAGGACGTGATACGGGCATGGCGTAGAAAATTTCGGGATAAGGATAGCAAACTAGCATGGCACCTTATCCCGGGCTGCATTGTTTGGTGCGTGTGGAGAGAAAGGAACAACCATTGCTTCGAAGACCAAACAAAGACAAGAGAGCAGATAAGAGAAACATTTTACTTTACCTTGTATTCTTGGTTTAATGCTGTGGCTAGAAATCCTGTAGATGGGTTGCCTAATTTCATGTTTTTCCTTAATAGTTTAAAGTGATTGTACACCTCCCGTGTATTCTCTTTTAAGTAATAAAATTATTTGATTACCTATAAAAAAAAAAAAAAACTTCTAATTAATTAAAACCTATAAAATTAGTCAAATATTGATATATAAAATCTTGTTCCATCAATATCTAATTATCAAGCCCAAATAAAATAGGAATTTAAACTTATTTCATTTTAGTCTTGATTTTTTTTTCAAAATATAAAAATATAGCCTATAAAACAATATATATTATTATTTTTAAAGTTTCCGGGACATTACAATTTTTCCTCCTAAAAAGAATTTCATCCTTGAAATTACCTTCATTTGGATCCTCTGTTGTCCCATCCTTAGTTAAAGCAAAAAACTCTAGCATTTTCTTTCTTTTCTTGCTCATTATCTTTCTTCAAGGGGGTTCCTTTGCAATTTTTAGCGATATGACGTGTCTTACCGCATCGATAGCACACAATACTCCCCAATAAACATTTACCCTTACGAGTCTTGTTGCACTTTAGACGACGAAACAATTTGTGAAAATCTTGATCCAAAGTTAATCTTCTTAT